ACTGCTGGGAAATGAGTTGTTAGAACTGACCTATGTTGCCTTTTTCTTGCAGGTGTTGTGTCTGTTTGCTTTGAAGGGGACAGTGATGGCTACATCAACCTGGTAGCATACCCTTTTGTGGAGAATGAGACTTTGGAACAGGATGACATGCCTGAGAGGGACCAGCCCCGACGCAAACACTCACGCAGGAGCCTTCACAGATCCAGCAGTAGCATTGAGCACAAAGAGGAGAAACCTGGGTTGGCCAGTGACAGCACTGAGAGGTAAAGGGACTGTGGGCTGAGGACAACACAACTTTTAGGGAAGCCACTTTCATGTCCTTCTGTGAGCTTTGTGCTCCCTAACAACAGTTCTCCAGTTGCACATGGTAGGTTGAATGTCACATGCTTGCTATTTTAGCGATTGCAGAGTTGGATTGCCCCATTTTTGGGCAGCAGCTCTTTCTAGATACCACACTAGAGTCAGGTGTGTCCTAGTGAAAAGGCTGGCTCTGTTGTGCATTCCTGAGGTTTGTTGAAGGAACTCTCTTCTACTCACTGGGGCAGCCTTAGGAAAGTTGAAAACCTTTCAGATTTCCTTTGTGAAGGCTGTACTTTCCTGGCTGGCCTATGGTGTCTGCTAGAGCAAGCTGCTATGATCTGACACAACATTGTGGCTCTGTTGTAGGTGCCAGCAGAATGAATGGCTGGCTTGCTCTAATTGTGAGCAGTCTGAGTGCCATACAGTTGCTGCTAGGAAGGCCCTGGATTGCTTAGAATTCTGATATGAAGTTCTTGCAACTGGCTAATGTATAACCTGATCCTTGGGTCAGGAATCTCTTCTCTTAGACAGGACACTAGGGACATTGACAGGTACTTGTAAACATCTCTGCCAGGTCTATTGAGCTTTCAGCAGCCCAAGCAAAGGACTGTGCTGATGGAACAGCTCTTAATGGGACCAGCCAGACTTCAGAGTGCAAGCTGTCCTGTGCCTCAAAGTGAGTCAAAGATTTCTAACCTCTGCACAGATGGGTTGTCTCTAGTTGGTGCAGACTGCCCCCTTCTCTCTTATGTAAATGTAGGCAGAATAGCTAAACACAGGCTCCGTCCAAGTACAAATGAGAAGACAGGTTGGCTGAGAGGTCTGGAGTGCATGTCTGTTCCCTATTAATTTAGTATGTGTAGTATGTGCATGACCTCAGTTGATCTCTGAGGTCTCCTTGTGCCCTTTAAGCTCCATTCTGGTAGGGAAGATACTGGTGTCACTATCTCAGAATGATGAGAATTCTACCTGCAGCTCATTGACCTGAAGGGTAGATTGGGGGACTGGGTTCCTCCCTTTCATATCTTTGTATTTCATGTGAAAACCTAGGTATGGTGTTGTGACATCTTGAGACTGCAGACTTGTCCTTCTACATATTCTGTAAACTTAGCACAGGTGCAGTTTAAACTGAAACCCGAAAAGCATTGTTCTGATACCTAGAGGTGTTGGTTTGCTGCAGAGAAGCTGGCACTTCTGAGTTGTGTGAGGTGTATAGTAGGAGAGGAACAGGGAAACATTGCGTGATGGGAAGATATGTTTGTTTGTGCCTTTATAAGCACTCTGGAACTGTAGTCTAATTTGTATCTGAAAGGGCAGCTGCTGCATACAAGCACTACCAAGGAGATCTGTTTTCTTCTCTGTTCCAGCAGCATCCAGGAAATGAAGAGTCCCAAGATGGACTTGCACATCCATTCAGATGTTCCATTTCAGATGCTGGATGGAAACAGTGGCCTTAGCTCTGAAAAGATTAGCTATAACCCATGGAGTTTGCGATGTCACAAGCAACAGCTGAGCCGTATGCGATCAGAGTCCAAGGACCGAAAACTCTACAGTATCCTCTAGAAAGCAGAGCCATGTGCTGCTTGCTGCCTCTGCTTCACACCTTTGCCTGGAGTGGCTAGCACTTGGTACTCAGGCTACTGTACCTGGAGCACATGCTTCCCCTCAGCTAGCACAAATAGTGACCAACTATGTCAAGTGCTGGGGGCCTTTTCCTTTACTCCTCCAGTATGACCCTTCAGTGGCAGCAGTGGCAGAGACCTGGGAGAAGGATACATTTTTAACTAAGGACTCTAGCCACATCCACTGGCTAGGCCTTAGCTGTTTCACTACATCATCTCTCCTCAATTTCTTTTCCTCTGACAGCCTGGATGTGTATTTCCATCCAGTAGCATTGCCTTGGTAGCTGTTTCCTTGCATGTTTTGTTGAGCCTTTTCTCTCTTCTTTCCTGCTCTTCTATTCCTCTTTTCTTGCTTGTATTGGTTTTTGAACCATGTTTTTTCCTTTCCCACACATTCTTTTTACTTTAACTCTAGCATCTCCCAAAGCTTCTTTTGAGCCCAGCTGTGGTAGCACTGATGGGGGGCAGCTCTGACAGATGTGCTATCCTTGACACGCTTTCCAGAGTTCCTTTTGCTGGAGAATGTTGTGCACCATTTCAGATTTCCCTGTGTACTAGACCTGAAGATGGGGACTAGGCAGCATGGAGACGATGCCTCTGAGGAGAAGGCCGCTCGGCAGATGAAGAAGTGTGAACAGAGCACCTCAGCTACACTGGGTGTGAGAGTCTGTGGCATGCAGGTATGGTATTCCCAGGGGATCTCTCTGGAGTGCTCCTGTGGCATAGATCCCTTTTTCCACTCCTCCTAGAACTTCAGGAGCCCCCAAAGGGAACACTCTTTACTAGGCGCATGAACTTCCATCCTTCAGTTAAGCTGCATGGCAACTTGATTGCAAATGTTGCTTTGTTTCATAGAGCATGTGCTCAAGACATTGCTTCTGTCTGTTTGACTAGAGTGAGGGGATCTGACTTTTTTTAGGATAGTGTACAAAAGTAGGTCACAGCCTACATCAGCAAAATACCCCGTGTTTTGAAGATGTGCTAAAATCCAGCAAGCCTACATATTGATGGTCTAGCAGTTTGACTTTCCAGCCAGAACAGTCTGCAGTAGTGCCTTTAGGGTTTTGTGTCCAGTAGCACCTGATATCCAGCCCTGTGGCTGAGATGGAGTGCCCCCCTTATTATTTTGTTCAAGACTTGTCCTTTTAGGGGTCTAAATCTATCTTCAGGATTATGCAGCAGTGAGTGATCCAGGTTAAACATTCACCACACTGATTGGCAACCAATAAGTAGGTACCATGTGGAGGGACCATGAAGGTTTGGAAAGCCATGTGGCTTAGGGGGTAACAGTTTTGCTTCTGGGCCACATGGTTATACATTTGTCTGTATCAGTACTTTGCATGTTGCTGCACCAGTAGATGTTGCTGCACCAGATACCTGTAGAGCTGCCCCAGTTGGGGAAATGCCGATTGCTGGGCAGCCATCATTCACACAAGCAGAACCCCTTGCCCTGCTGACATTGTATATTGGGATATCAGGAGCATTAAAGGTACTAGCCAGTCTTATTTTATGCTACATCTCTTAAGCAGTGGTGGCTGGACACTCTTGTTGCAACACAGGGTAGTCCAGTCTAGTCCTTCTGCATATCACTACAATCTTGCTATGCTTCCCATTTAATACGTGCCTCCTCTGGCATTCTAGGTCTATCAGCTGGATACAGGCCATTACTTATGCAGGAATAAATACTACGGCCGTGGCCTTTCCATTGAAGGTTTTCGCAATGCCCTCTACCAGTATCTCCACAATGGCATAGAGCTGCGCAAGGACCTCTTTGAACCTATACTCGCCAAACTCCGGAGCCTGAAAGCTGTGTTGGTGAGGCAGGCCTCCTACCGCTTTTACTCAAGCTCCCTCCTCATCATTTATGATGGGAAGGACAGCAGGGCAGGGATGTTTCTGGAGCGCAGGGCAGAGATGCGCCTGAAGCGAGTGGACAGCTCTCTCTCTGAGAGTCTGCAGGATGGCACAAGCACAGAGCCCAGCCCCTCAGCCCAGCCTAAGGTGGATGTGCGCATGATTGACTTCGCACACAGCACATTCAAGGGTTTTCGGGATGATCCCACTGTGCATGATGGACCTGACATGGGTTATGTATTTGGGCTGGAAAGCCTCATCAACATAATGGAACAGATGCGTGATGAAAACCAGTAGTCTGAACTGTGCTCTTTCATTGATACTCTGGTGGCAGGAGCAGACAGGACCACCTACTACTGCAGGAAAAAACAAACAGCTTTGGTTTTAGAGGACTGTATTGCTCTGCTGTTTTTAAATATACCCTGGGACAAAAGAGCTGAGGCACGCGTGAGGATCTCTGCTGTCCTGCTTACCAGATGGCTCGTATTGCACTTGGCCCTACCTTCTGTAAGAGGACCTGCCCACAGAGAAGAGAGAGGAGGAGATAGCTCATCAGATGGGGTAGGATGTGATGGGAGGTGGGTCTAGGATTCTGTTGCCACTGCTCCTTCGAAAGTCTTAGCAGAACTTCCAGATTGAACTTCTCTTCTGTCACTTGGAATGGGCATTCATTAAAGTAAGAGCCAGCAGTATCTGTGGAGTGGATGGAAGGCAGCACATTCATGCTGTTCTTATGTACTGGCTGTATTAATGCAGCTAACCCTGCCTTGGGGTTGTGATTGACCGAGAGGTCTGTTTTTGATACTGCCTTTATCTTCTCCCGTTTGGGCACTGTGACTAATCATCCCAAACAGGCAAGAATAAATGACCAAATGAACCCCAATGCAGGACTGCAGCAGAGGGGAAATGGCCACAAACCATGGGTTGCTCCCGAGTTAGTCACTTACTTCCCCTGCCACTTTTTGCAACCGGTAGTTAAACTTGGGCAGGATCAGTAGCGATGGCTTAGGCTAGCAGGAAAGCATGAGGCTTCTGTGATACTAAACACCTCACTGCACATGCCCAATGAGAGTTCAGCTAACTGACTAGCACTAGTGTCAATAGCAAATTAATACAACCACCGTCTATTCTCTATGGTTCATCAGGCTATTTTCATTCTCTCCATTTGTGTAATGTAGGCCCAATAAATCACATGCAAGTATCTCCCTAGCCATGTGCAGACCAGGTGCTGCAGCACAAGATAGTTGTCTTCCTTTAATTGTGCTGGAACAAGGCTTTCTTGCCTCCCATTGCTGCTTTTGCAGATAGTTTTTTCACTAATGCTGGGGCAGTAGAAAAGAAGGCTGAGGGGATGAGGGTGGATAGCAAATCTCAAAATGAAGATGACAGTCTTGATTATTGTAACAGGGCTTCAGTGGTCATAGCCTTTGTGCTGACTGTTGAGCCTTTGCTGGAGTTGGTCTTTCCTCTGTGAATGGAAGCAGTTGCCTAGCTGCCAAAGTGAGCCTGCAGCTAGAATCACTGGAATCATTGTCCAGCTTAATTTCAGGGAGCTGTTATTTGCTGGCCTGGTTGTTGTAGTGAAGCATTGGTGTCTCATGCCTCTGTTGGACAGAACAAAGTTTAGCTTCATTTTTAAATCTGTGCACCACTCCTTCACAAATGGATTTCTATGTTGGAACTTAAAAGAACAGCAAGGAAGCAAGTAACTGACTCTCCTCCTAAAACTAGTACAGCAACCCAACCTCAGAGTTAAAGGTAAGTGCTTTACCTGTGGTTCCTGGTGTTAGGTGGCAGAGAAACTCTGCCTGGGCATTTTTGTGGCCTTTTGAGTGAGCCCAGTTGTAACAAAACAGTTGCTGCTGATGGGTGTGTAGTTCTGCATGTAGCAAATGCACTAGGCATTTTGGGTACACACTTTGATGGGGGAGCATTCTTGCTGAGTTGCTGTCATCTGTAATTGCTGCAATGTGGGGTTTGGGGCAGTGTGGAATGGGAAACTTGCATTTCTATTACAGCTGTTCTTTGAGGGTGGGGGTGTATTGCTAAATTTGGTTTCGGAGCTTAACATCGTCCTTGTTTGTTGCTGCTCTGCAGAGTGCAGTTGAAGCTGTTGCTCCCTTCCAGCCTTCAGATGATGTTAGGGTTCTTGATTATAAGGTTATGACATTACATTTGTTGGGTTACTCCGTCCTCCCCATTCTGCAGGCTGTTGACTGTTTTGCTTCCTCAAGCAGTGGCTAGTACAGAAACAAGTCTAGCTAGAGGAAATGCAGTCACTGAAGGAAGAAAGGGAAGTCTAAGATAGCTGTGAAGAAATCTGGAGTTAATGTCCCTGGCTCTGCCTCACCAGAAGACTGTTCTTTATTGCACAATGACCAGTCAAATCTGACTCTGGTATTCTTCCTCCTTTAATGCCCCTCGTTTTCCTTGGTGTCTTCTGTGGAAGGTACCTCTAAAGAGGAGCATTTCACACTGGGGATGGAGCACCTCTACATATCACCTCATCTTTCAGCATTCCCTTTGCCACCTATTCTAGTTATCAGAGTTGGTCTTCTATGCAGCCCTACCTTATCTCTCCCATTGATCCCATCGTAATGCTGAGCTTAAAAATGGCTGTCATGCCACATGGCATCTTGGTATGTATTGTATCTTATTTTTGGTCCAGTATTGTCCCTGTATTATATCCTCACTCCAGGATCAAGCTGAGGAGTAAAGGAGATGTTCTAGAAGTAAAGCTGTTCTTATTCTAATGGTAAAGTTTGGTTCCTTGTGAGTCCTTTTTAAAAATCCCTTTGGACCCTACAGATGAGATTTTCTACAACCTGTAAATTGTGTTGAAAATAAGATATTTTTCTGACTGTTGCCAGGACTTTTTCTTACAAGACCTGTGACTGCTGTTTGTGCTTCATTTAGAACCAAAAATACACAAGGTCTTGTTTTGTTAGCGTTGTAGAATGTCGGCATTTCCACATTACATGATTGCAAAGCCCAGCAGTGCGCAATAGCAATAAGCCTTCTCATGTGGCTTTGAATAGGCTTTAGGCTTTTGGAGCACCTATACACATGCTGGATGTCTGATCTAACAAGTGCTAATTAGCATGCATCAGAGCAGAATTGTTTAATCCAGTGTGCTGGAGAGTGCTAATTAACACACTCCAGTAGTTTCCATGTCCTGTATTCAGCACCCCCATGCTTGAAAAAGGCAGTGGAGGCACTTTTAACTAAAGCTCATCAAACAAGCTTTAGTTAAAATGCCCCCACTGCCATTTTCAAGCGCAGGATGCCGAATACACATGATGCTGAAGGCGCTTTAATTATAGTGGCTTTTGGAGGCACTGTAAGTGCACCACCCCTCACCCCCGCCCTGCACCCCAGCATGTGTAAAGATACCCTTGGAGATTTAGACTTCTGGAGGCCTTAGCTTGGGGAGAGTGGAATGTTCAGTTGGAGTCGGAGGAGCCCAAACTCAGTTGACACTGCTCTTCACCCTCTTGCCAGGGCAGGAGTAGCTGAAATCCTTGTGCATAAGCAAAGCAAAAGGTGGATAGAGCTTGTGATGAATGCAAGGTACTCTCTCCTAACTAGGTGGCACTGGTAAGAGTAGCTCTCTGCCAGCCCTGCCCATGTCCCACCATGTGGGCATGCTGCAGTGTCAGCCTCTGCAGCTTGGTGCTTCTCTTTAAATTGACAACAGCAGTAAAGCTGTCTTAGACAGCAAGGCAAACATATAGCTAGCTCTACCACACATGAGGAAAGTAGTTTTCACCAGCTGCTCTTTGCAATAAGACAGAGATGATTGTTTGAATTTGCCCTTTGTGGCTAAACAGGGAAACACTGTTGGTTTGTCACAGACTTCCTCTCCACTCATGTCAGAAACAGATTTGAACAGATGCTTCCAAAATCTATGGACTGATTCTCCAAGCAGATTACCCTGCTTGTTATTCCTCTTTACTGTCTATCTATAAAACCAGTTTTTGCCAGAGTAAGACTTGCAGATCCACTGTCTTTTGGGTAGACTTCAGTTTTACTTATCTTGCAAAGAAGAGAATGAAATCAACCTGACAAAACACTCCTGCCCTCTGCTATCACACACATTCTCTAGCTCACTAAAGTGAGTGCTGGTACATGGTTGAGGTAAGCTTTGTTTCATCTTGTTTTGCGGGGAATGTTACTTTGCTATGGATGGAGCTAAAGAGAATTTTAATAAATGTAGCAGCAAAAATGGCCAGGATTTGAGCATTTCTTGTTATTAACACTGTAATAGATTTCCTCCCTTATCACTCACTCCCCCAACCTGATAGCAAGAATGAGAAGTCTCTGGTTAGCCTCTTTTCTAGATAATCTGCCAGCTCTTAGTGCTGCCTCTGATTTGGTAAATCATCAGGAGGTAATTTTGCCTTTTCTCCTGCTTGGTAGCACCCTCAGGCAAACAGGCCTATTTAAAAAAAAAAAATGGGGAGGGGAGCGTGGAATCTGTCTTGGATTCTGAAGCTACCCGGTTGTTCCCCCGTGCCAGACAGGTCAGTATGTCATTGATTTGACTACAAAGAACAAAATAAAGGGTTCTTTCCATCTCTCCCCATATCCCACCCTGGGAAGCAGACTGTTGTGGCTGGTTAAAGCACCATGGGGAGGCAGAAGTGAGTTGCCTTAAAGTAACCATCCTCAGAGTTCATAAATACATACATCCCTACGTTTAAATTTCAGAGGGACTAGCTGAAGTGGCCATAAGGACAGCTATTTGGTGTTGGGAGTATAAGCTCTTGGTGGAACTTCTCTGGACAGCCCTTTCCTACACAGCCTGCATGCATTGTACACAGTCAAAACTACCTTAGGGTGAATGTATAGATTATCCTTTCTGCCCTGTCTTACTGCAACAGCATAGTTTGTTCTCTTTTCAGAGCTTGTTGACATTTCATGCTCAGCAGTATGAACTTCTGTATCAGAACTAGTATGAACTGTGTAGTTGCCCTCATGTAGAAAGATGGACCAGCCTTTCCACTTTCTGGAATACATAGCCAGTCAGTTTCTAGCAATAGTGTGATCTTCTAGCAGTGGGAACATGTAGGTCTGTTAATGAAAGTGGATTTTTTTGTTATTTTGTTTTCTTCTTCTCCTGTATCTTGGTCTCAGTGGACTTGCAAAGTATTTATCTGAGGAAGCTTTGTTCCCTTTTGCCCATGTTTGTAAGTGGGATAGTAGCAAGGGGCTTGTTTCACCACATAAATGCACAGGGATTTGTGTGGGTCGCTGCTGCTGTCTTGTGGAAAATAGTGTTGTGGATTCCTTCTCCACTCCTGCTATGACCTCGGGGTTATTTTTGCTCTGTAGCTTGTCACTGACTGTCTTGCTCTCTCAGTGGTGTCTGAAGCTATTCTTTTGAGCTGGCAGCCGTTGTATTTTGACTTGCAGAAGGCTGGGCTGGAATGTATTAGAAACTATGCTTGAATGCCCTCATTTGAAGAATGGGTCTACGTAGAGATGCAGTTTACCTAAAATATGCCTGGCTCCATGATGTAGCACATGCAGCAATTCTGAAAAATTGGCCCTCTACTAACTGGCTTCATCTTGTCTCCTTTACAAGAGGGAAATCTGCCATGGGGACAGTGCAAACTATTTCTCTGAGCTGGAGAGGGGGTTGAAAAGGAAAAGAGTTGCCTCAACAGCTGAAACTTGTTTTCTCCTGTACCTCCACCTGTCCAGCAGGTTTGTACCAAATATTCTGCCCCCTGCAGAGGACCAAACCCTGAGTTGTGGCATGGCTGCAGGCCTCCTCTCTTCAGGTGTTAGACAGCATTTATATGGGGCCAGTGGATGAGACGGTTACTGGAGAGGACTGTGAAAGGATGTTTGCTGAACTCAGATCCTCACTAGCAACTTGTCAGAAATTGCTGGAATATGCCTAACTCCTACAGTAAAGCCAATACCATAGATAGTATGGAGTAACAATCTGTGAACATGGCAGCTCTCGGCATGTTTTATTGTTTGCTGTGATGTCCTCTCCAGAGAGGTCACAATGTAGCTGCCCTCCCTAGTCCTGCAGCTTCCTCCTGTTTTATATAACTGGTTCCATGTCCTCATTTTCCCACTCCCAGCCTATGGCTAGGACTGAAAAGTTGCCCAAAGCAGAAGTTCAGATGTTGTTGTTTGTGTTTGTACTGTTGCATGTTTATCTCAGGAGCAAAATGCTTTTGTACTTGAAAAGTCCAGGTGAGGAGGGTCTATTGGGATGTGTTGGGGGCCTTGTAAAGGTAATGATGGTATGGGAGGGAGGAAGCAGCACAAGCCCTCTGCAGTGCAGAGTGTTTGTCCCCACTTGCCCTCCATCCCTCAGCTTGTCTGGGAGGGATGTGGCATCATATACTGTCTTCTAGCATTTTTTTTGCTTACTTTTAGTATTCTCTTAGCCTCATTCTACTGGACAAATCAAGCTTATGGGCATGAGTAGGTACCAGTATCTGTACTACAGACGCTTCACCGTTACCTCTTTTGCTGTCTCAGTCATGTATATACAAATAAAATCTGCTAGAAGTTTAGCAGTGAAATGTGTGTCCTTATGCAAATTCCATGAAACAAGCTGGCTCAGCCTGCTGCCTCTTCTGAAATCATAAAAGGTAACAAGTGGACTGCAGGAGAACCCACCAGTTGCTTTCCCAGTGGACTTCTTACCTTGGAGAAGGAAATAGATTTAAGAGGATGGGTTGGGGGTAAGGCATGCACTATGAATACGAAGCAGCTAGGGTGCTTCTATGAAAGACCACGAAAACCTGCTTTACTATTTGTGGCAGGATCAACTGGCTAAGGTAGATGGATGTCATGGGAGAGGCCTCCCAGTTATCAGGAAACTACACCTACCTCCACCATCTGAGTTGCCTGGGGCAGGATTTCTACAGCCCCTCTTGACACCAGCTCCAGCACAAAGACATGTGGGCAGAGATGCTGGCAATGGTGCAGTGCATCCTCTCCACCTTTACTCCCTATATCCCCAGCCACACACAGCTGGCCTTCTCGCGCAAACCACGTGCAAGTAAAAACAGGATCTAAAAAACCCTACTTCCCTGGGCCTCCCTGCTCCTCGTAGCCCTCTCGAGCGGAGGGTTTGTGTTTGCAGCGCTGCCAGCGCTGAGCCCCTGCAACTGTATGTTTAGTTGATTTTAATGAAGCAAAGCAACTGTTTCAAGAGCAAGGAGGAAGCTCGCAGTGCAGGCAACCGGCAGCGGCTCCCTCTGTTTTCTCGGGGGGGGG